TTTTCGGACGCTTTTCAGAATGGACTTCAACTGACAGAGAGAACACAGAACTCGCATCATGTTTTTTTTCTTTATTTGGCGTAAAGCACAAACACTTTGTTTTTATTGAGTATCCACAAAAAAATAGACACAGAACATGTTCTAATGATGTTCAACACATATGTAAAATCAAAATCAAGTATTTTGAGTGTCTTTTGCACTTTGCAAGAAAAAAATATTGCAAATTGCCTTAATGCCTTTTCAATCAAAACGTGTCTTTCTACCCATATTGTTCAATTCTACTTTTTGTCATGGATTATTCGCATTACTTCAAAGCATTCATTTTACTATACAATATTGTCAAAGTTTGGAGTCAGTCCTTTTTTTGTTTTTGTTTTTGAAGAATCTTTCTGAAGAATCTTGATGCATCCATGGTTTCTACAAAAATATTAAGCAGCTAGCTAATTATGAGAAATGTTTCTTGAACATCAAAATTAGAATAATTTCTGAAGAATCATGCGACACTGAAGACTGGCGTAATGATGCTGAAAATTCAGCTTTGATCACTGGAATTTGTATATTAAAATCATATTTTTAAATATTCAAATAGAAAACACCTATTTTAAAGTATAATATTTCACAATATTACTATTTCAACTGTATTTTCTATATATAATTTGTCTCATGACCGTAATGGTGCTTTATTATTATAATGGGTGTTTGGGTGTGGGCGAATTCTGAATTCACCCATTTTCAGAATTATCTTTATTAGATAACTTGGGCATCATCAAATAACTCGCGATACATGTCATTACAACTAAATGCATCACAATATCGTTTATGGATTGACACTGAAACCGAGCCTGTCGTGTGAGAAAGACACTCGTCGGAGAGCATGAATCTACAGTATCAGTTTCATTCTCTCTCTGGCAGTTTGTTCCAGCTTTGTTTTCCGTACCACATCTCCTAAAAGCATCTCTGAGCACTGTCTGAAACTACGGTTCGAAATCGATGCAAAAATGAAACCTTTGTGGAATTAACTGTAGGAAATATACAAGTACCTAAAAAGATTGATTTCCATTTAAAGGATGCAAAATAATTGTGTGCGTAATAGCCCAGGCATGTTCTAGACTTCGTGAGATTCACAACTTTCTGAGATCACAGATGTCCGAAATCCTGGAGATCGAGGACAAATGAAAGTGTAACAGTGCGATTATGGATGAAGCAGAGCCATATGGGTCACAGAGTCGCACGGAAGTGACATTATCTAGTGCAAACCTGTATTATTAACCTGTAACGTACCCAGAACTCAAGCTTCAGATTCTGTATTTATTGTGTCTGTTTTTGCTTCAGTTCTCAGGAGAGTCAATCTCAGAGCGCACATCCTCTTTATAGCCACGGTGTGTGCAAGTGGCCAGGCTGCGACACAGTGTTCGGAGACTTCCAGTCATTCCTCAAGTGAGTCAACACTCTCATCCTCTACGTTTTATTATGCTGTTTGTCCTGTTTGCAGATCTGTGAGGAGGAGCTGAATGCGGCTGTAATCTAATTATCATTTCTGAGTGTGCCCGCTGCTCTTTTAATGCGTTTCTATCCCTTTTACTCTGTTTACTTGTTTCATGTTTTTTTGTCCCTTTCCCTTCTCCCACCTTGGTTCGCTTATATGTATGTATATACCACCCATGTGTCTTTATATTCTTTCCATTTCCTTCCCTCTCTCACTCTTTCCCCTGTGGCGGTGCAGCCGTGGGGCCCCTCAGGGTTGAGCTCAGTGCACTGATAAACAGAGTACCCATGGTGATCCTGGCCATCCCTCCAAAACAAACAACAGGAGGATGTTTATCTGTGCCCCTTCCACTGACCCTGACCCCTGCTCCCAGTCCGAGGCCCGCCCTGTCTATTGCCACAACACTGCCTTTGTTCCTCAGCTCGGTCACAGTTCCTCCATATAAAAACATGTTTCTAATGATCACATCACACTGACATTCACGTGCCGTACCTGAGAATAAGGTGTTTAGATATTGCTTTTCAACCTTCATGAATATGCAATCACAAATATTGCATGAAAATTGCATTGCTTTAGAGTTTCACCATGTAAAAATATCTCCCTCTCTCTTCATTCAATAGAAAATGCAAGATGGTCTCATGGATAAATGTGCTTGATATGCAATCAATTTAATTATGAATATTTTTTAGCAAAATGTATATTTTTAAAACGAGTTGTAAAGATTAGAGTTGTTTGAGGAAGTTGTTTGGATGAAAGTCTTGCACAGATTTTCTTTGAATACAGCGCCCTCTACTTCTCAATAATAGTATTGCATACATTTATGATGTCAACATGTCATACACTACATGTTCAAAAGTTTGGTTTATGTTTTATTAACTGACTGTAATGACATTAGTAATGTTATAAAAGATTTAAAATAAGTGCTGTTCTTTTGAACTTTCTATTGATCAAAACTCCTTAAATTTATCAGGGTTTCCACAAAAATATGAAGCAGCAGAACTGTTTTCAACATCGATAACAATCAGAAATGTTTCTTGAGCAGCAAATCAGCATATTTGAATAATCTGAAGGATCATGTGACACTGAAGACTGATGTCAAAACAAAATTTTCATCATTGTTTTATAATATATTAAAATAAGATATATTTTTTAGTTCCATTTCTGTTTTAACTATTTTTGATCAAATAAATGCATCATTGGTGAGCAGAAGAGACTTCTTTCAAAAACATAAATCAATTTTTTGAACACTAGTGAACCTGAATGATTCACTAAAAAGAATGAAACCACTCAATGCTGATGTTGTGTATTATTCTGCTGAGTGTGTTTTCAAAAGAAACTAGATTTATTTTCAGACAACTTTAGGCAAGGCAGGGCAAGTTTATTTATATTGCACATTTCATACACACAACACGACACCACTAAGACAAAACTCGAAAAGAAATAACACATTATAAATAATTTAGTGCTGTGAATGCACGTTAAAGCTGCACTGTGTAACTCTTTTAGTTTTTTCTTAGCTAAAAACACGTTCTTTCAAAAATATATGTGCTCATTAATGTATATTTACTTCGTTCAAGTAATAAAGTATTCTCGTGAGTGTATAATATGACATTGAAAATACATACGGGTAAGGGGTGCTAATGCCGGTCGCCATGTTGCCCTTTCATCTTGAAAGTACATTAGCTAAAGAGGGACATACCCATTAATTCAAGCTTCGCCTTTCGGGTTTATGTTTGAGTTAACACTCATGGATGGGGTCGAACTGGAAGCCATGTTAATCTTGGACTACATTGGCCACCGTAGGAGTTAAAACGAAATCGGAATTGAGAGGAACAGAAACTAATATTCACTGGATGGTCATTAGATGGCGGTAAAAATCACACAGTGTAGCTTTAACGAATGTGTTTTAATGTCTTGGTGTAAACTGAATGTCTGCATGTGTCTGTTGTGTTTTTCAGGCATTTGAACGGTGAACATGCTCTGGATGACAAGAGCACGGCGCAGTGCAGAGTTCAGATGCAGGTGGTTCAGCAGCTGGAGCTGCAGGTAAAGCTTCACAAACATTCAGCACAACTGCTTTTCCTCCAGACAGAACTGCTTCTTGATATGTTGATATTTTATTCTGATTAGACTAAAGAAATGTTTGTTTTCTGCTTTGCATGGTTTGCAAACATCCTGCTCTAATCTTTTTCCTGCTCTGTATGTGCTGAATACACACATGAAGAAAAAGTGAACGTAAGACAACAGAAAGCTCCATGTTCATCAGTGGTGTTTGTGTTTGTCATACAGCTCACTAAAGACAAAGAACGCCTTCAGGCCATGATGGCCCACCTCCATGTCAAGTCTACTGAGGCCAAACCAGCCCCTCAGCCAGTATGTCACTCTGTTTGATTATAAACACACTTCTGTAGTTCTGGTGAAGTAATAAACTTTCAAATGTTTCTTAGGTGAATCTGGTGTCCAACCTCACTCTTGCTAAGGCAACCGTTCCGAAAACCACTCCCTCCATGAGCCTGTCCCAGAGTGCCACGGCCCCGTCTACGCCCCTCACGTCACTCCCCCAGATGCCCTCGGTCATCATCCCCACCAGCCTGCACAGCATGGGACCCATCCGCAAACGCTACTCGGACAAATACAACATGGCCATGGACCAAGGTGAGATCGGTGACCTCTAGCCCACTGTCAATGTCAGCGCCAGTATCCCTGCGCGGGACTGAAACCAGTGTAAAGGCCTGTTCACACATGCACGGTTGCTTGGGTCAATGAAGTGTAACTGAAGCAGCTGCACCTCTCTCCTGTGTCTCATAGATATTGTGCAGAATAAGGAGTTCTACTTGAGTGCTGAGGTCAGGCCTCCGTTTACATATGCAGCTTTGATCAGGCAGGTAAGAAACCATCATGCAGCGCTTGGTACCTCACCATATATTCCTGATCAACCATGCTGTCTGAGCTGTTTTAGTTAAACCTTTACATTTATCTTTCATCAGCTGCTGTATGAGAGACATGTGTTTCCTTTTTTAATTCGCAGGCCATTTTGGAGTCTCCAGAAAAGCAGCTAACACTAAACGAAATCTACAACTGGTTCACTCGAACATTTGCGTATTTCAGACGCAATGCAGCAACGTGGAAGGTAACGGAGTAAAAAGATCCGTCTTGATTTATTTCTTGTGCCCTGGATCAGTTTTTTTAATTTCTCCTGCAATCTCAGAATGCAGTTCGCCACAACCTCAGTCTTCACAAGTGTTTTGTACGAGTTGAGAATGTGAAGGGGGCCGTTTGGACCGTGGACGAGATGGAGTTTCAGAAAAGGCGGCCACAAAAGCTCACTGGGTAAGTGCAGATCTGACTGCCACGTTTTCATTTGCACTGGCCGTTGTCGCGAATGACGCTGAGGTCTGTTTCTTCAGATCACCTCTGGTGAAGAACATCCAGTCCAGTCTGGGTCAAAGTCCCACCCTGTCTGCTCTGCAGGTATGGATTCAGCTCAGACTCGTTCATACATACACTACCATTTAAAGGATTTCTCTCGTGTTTATTTGATCAAAAATACAGTAAAATTATGAAATATTATTACAGCTTCAAACAACTGTTTTCTCTTTGAATATATTTCAAAATATCATTTATTGCTGTGATGCAAACAACATCATTACTCCAGTCTTCAGTGTCACATGATCTTTCAGAAATCATTCTCATGATATGCTGCTCAAGACACATTTCTTATCGATGTTGAAAACAGATGTGCTGCCTTATATTTTTGTGGAAATTGTGATGTTTATTTTTCAGGATTCGTTGATGAATAAAAAGTTCAAAAGAACAGCATTTATTAGACATAGAAGTCTTTTGTAACATTATTAATGTCTTCCATTATTAAACATTATAATAATGAAATTATTCATTATTGAAAGACATTAATAATGAAAGACATTATTAAAAGTTTCCCTTTTGATCAATTTCATGCATCATTGCCTGCCTCAATGGTAGTATATATAACTTGTTTGGGATACAAGTGCTATTTTGGGTGATCTTAAAACAATGTTTCTCCTCAGGCTGCGATGGTGGACAGCAGTCTGCCCCTATATGGCTCGGCATCGATGGGAGCGTCCAGTCTGAAGGCCCTGACCGGTGCGCTGCATGAGGACATGAGTTCTCACGATCATGATGATGGCTCCCGCAGCGACTCCAGCCTGGAGCTCTCTCCTCTGCCCACACTGTGAGTCCACTGTCCTGACTGTCTAATATCGCTCACGTAAACCCTGAGAACATCATGTCAGCCACTCACTGCTGGCTTACTGAAATATTCAAATTGGCAATCAAGTTATTTTAACAGAACTGACACAGCAGTACAGATTTAGATTTCATTTTTGCTCGTTGCTTTTTGAAATCATATAAATCTGAGAGTCGCTGTAGAGTCTTTGTCTGGTGTTTGCAGTCTAGTTAAACAAAATTTAAATATCCTCTGCATTCGTCTTCTATATCATGAGATTTTGGCCAAATATATTCAACAACAAGAAAAACAGAGTGCCCACATAGCTACAATAAACATAATGCGATGATGCACTTATGCGGCTGTTCCAGTGACGATCAAAACTCAAAAACCCTGTAACTCCATGAGCTTACACATGCAAGTGTCTGACCATATATAAAGCCACAATACCTTCTTTGACAACACAACCACCTTTCATCATCACCAACATCATAGCTACACCTAATTGTGTCCTAACCTGACTCAAGTTTCACACTAATTGTGATATAATATCCAGTTTTAATATGCCATTTGAAGCAATGCATGCTTGTGCAATTTTGTGTTTATTTCTCAAAACTGCTTGAATTTAATGTAGTCCTCAAAACAGAGCATCTATACCAGTGAGCAGTTTAATTTGTGCTGAAGTGTAAGATCTTGGTTGATGTGAGCCGTGTGTGTGTGTGTGTTCTCAGGCATCGGTCTCAAATTAAAGAGGAGCAGATGGAGGCCGAGGACTATAATGGGTCCATGTCTCCAGAGACAGAAGACCAGCACAGTCCAGACACCAACCACAACCCAGAGTACAGCGAAGAGCCGGGCCTCTCACCGTTCCACTGCTGAGATCAGACTCCTGACAAACACATACACACACACAAGTTACAGCTGCAACTTTTCCTTTTGGGAACTACCCTTTATTTATTGTTTCGATTGACCTGTTTCTGTTGTACGCAATGGTTTGACCTCAATGGTACTAAAGGGCTCCTAGAGGGCGCTGTAGGCTACACGTCATCTTTGCTTTGTATATTAAACACTACGGCACCGTAGTAATCGAACGCTCACCTTGGAGGGAAGGCGCTTTCCCTGTCGGCCGAGGAAAATTTGAAGCGGTCTACGACAAGATTTATTTAGCTTTCCACAAAATCTGTTCACTGCAGCTGTGAATGCTGAATGAAAAGCTCTTTTATTGTAAACGCGAGTTTAAATCACCTCAGCCTCAATACTGTAGGGTTAGTCGCCATCGAGAGCCCTGGCTGCCGTGGCCTTAAATTTCGGGCCGCTTATCGGTAGAGTGGAAAATGAAATTGTGAATGTCTATCTTTTTTACCTCTTGTTTTTTCAAGATAAAAACAAAACCAAAGGGGAACATTTTATAACCAGCACTTGATGAATGTTTTTCAATTGTAGTTTTTGATTTGTTTTTCACTTAGTGTGTACAGAAGGTTACTGTATTTCCATTATCCAAAACATTTACGCAAACAAAAAGCCTCATTCTCAACAGTCACAACCATTCGGTTATTAGTAAAGCTGAACCAAACATTTCCGTATTTGAGTAGAGCAACTTTTCTTTTCTTTTTTGTAGAAAAAAAAATCAAGTTACCAAAGATTGTGAAAGATGTTTTAATGTTGTGTACCCTGTTTACATTGTCCCTTTTGATATGGCCAAGACTAAGAAGTCTTCACTTGAGTGGATTTGATGAGTATTGGAGGCATTTAATGTCACACTCATGACATTTGAGCAGTTTGTAAACCGCAATCATTTGATTTGACAACGTACCACAGAGAAATGAGCTGATGAGGGAAATAATGCGTAATTGTTGACTGAATAATTTGTTACACATGTCCAAAAGAAATAGATGCCATCTATTTCAAATCAACTATTTCAGTTTTTTCAATACTTCTGAATAAATGGCCTTATGATTAATAAATTCTTGTATAAAAAGTGTTTTTTTTTTTCATTTATACAAATTACTGTTACTGTGATTGTATGTGTATATATATATATATATATATATATATATATATATACAATCACAGTAATAGAATAGTGCATTGGAATTGAAATAATTCACATAATGAATTCAGATTTGGTACCATGACTTTTATTACATTTATTATATTTTTCACTTGTGCATACACTGAAAAAATAGCATAAGATAATTAAAAAAATCCTTTTCTTATCAAAATCCTTCCATGTAGTCTTTTTTTAACTTTCCAAGTCAGCTGCATGTGTGAAAATATATTACTACATACAAAGATCAATAAGAAAATACAGAATACAATATATTAAAGTCGTCATAGACGTGTCTAACTATCTGTCAAAAACAGCAATAACTCGTTGATACAGGCAAGTAAAATAAATGGCACAGCTTATAGTAACTGAATGAGTACATATAGCCACACGTCTTTGGTTATAAACCGCTTCTGGAGATCATGATGCAAAACATGGAATGCAGAAACGTCCACCTGTCCCGTCAGTTTAAAGACCGATTACATTCCAATAATAATGTTCCATTACTACACCATACGTCAGGCGTGACGGTCAGCTGACCAGGCTATGGTTCATATACGATGTGGACGGTTATGTACCACTGTCTTATTCCATGTATGAATGGTGCATAAAATAGCCTACACCACAAAAGGGTACTAAATAAAGTTCCTTTCCTACTCTAAAGGCAACCGAATTCTCTCTGGCTAATAATCACATGACCATCAACCTTCCATTGTGACATCATACTACAGGAACCCCGCGTCACGATTACGCCATGTCTGGTCCTCCATCTTTCGCTCTCCATCTCAAACGCTCTTAACTTTCACTATCATTCGCAGACACTGGGCCAGATTCAGAAACCATGGCACCTCCTTTCCAGTTAAAAGGACAAAAATTCACTTCAATTTGGTGGATTAATAAAATATATAAACTGATGATTGTCCTTCTGCAAAGGCTTTTTTCTGTGCAATTCATATGTTGGGAGTGCATATATCATTTATTGTATTCAGGGGTCAATGCAGTGCCTAAAATGTACACATTTAAAAAAAATCTTGGTGACAATTTTATAAAAACCATTTACAATCCCACGAACACCAAAAAAGGCTTAAATAGCGCAATACCACAACAGATGGTTGGCTTTAGTTCGGTTACATTCTCTATATTTTGGTTTGAATGTGCTTTGGTATCGTGTTAGTCAACAGTAAAGCCGTTGTCTTTGCCAAAAGTTCCTGCAGTCTTTAGTTGTGAAGCTCTTAAACTTGACAGAAGGTGCAACACTAGAGTCTTGTGATGTTCGGCGGTGTGTGTGTGTGTGTGTGGTGTGAAGATGACGCTCCTCGTCCCCGGGGCTTTAGCGTCTCTGCGGTGCCAGCATTACTTTGTTAATGAAGTTGACGATGGCAGTCGCAGGCTGTTCGGGATCCAGCTCTGCGAAGAGATGGCAGACGTTCTCCACCGCACTGCCGGGCTTCTTGGCGACAAAACCAAAAACTCTGAGAGGAGGAAGAGCGACATGCAAATGAGTGATTGTGGATCAAATATCCGTCAGTTTTGCAATCCAAACATGGAGTGAACGGACAGACAGGTTGATCAGTACTAGAGTAAAATAACATGCACATAATTAGAGGAAACAAGCTGTCACAACAGTCCAGACGACACACACACACACGTTTCATTTAGACTTACTTAGAGGTTGTGCTGTCTGAGTTAGTCCACCTACGGCAGCAAGAGGGAGACAGAGACAAGACTGAGGAACAGACTCTCTCTCACACACACACACACACACACACACACAAACACACGGGACGCTGATGCAGCCACACATGAACATGCTCTCAATCTGAGGTCAAAGCATACATGCAAGTAGGCTACACAGGTCCTGTTCCTACATTGCTGTGGTGCAATCATACTTGCGCTGCGTCTGAATTCCGTTCTGACACATTTCCCATTGCAATGATACGTGAAATCGAGCTTGTGTAGAAGTATTTTCGTTCTTTTAGAGTATGCAGCAGTTGTACACACACACACACACACACACACACACACACACACACACACACACACACACACACACACACACACACACACACACACACACACACACACACACACACACACACACACACACACACACACACACACACACACACACACACACACACACACACACACACACACACACACACACACACACACACACACACACACACACACACACACACACACACACACACACACACACACACACACACACACACACACACACACACACACACACACACACACACACACACACACACACACACACACACACACACACACACACACACACACACACACACACACACACACACACACACACACACACACACACACACACACACACACACACACACACACACACACACACACACACACACACACACACACACACTACACGTTTTCAAAAGTGGGCTATTTAGGCTGCTTCATTAAAAATGTGACATTTAGACGTTTTTTTCGGCGTGGATCGAGGCAAATTAATCCTTTTCACCTTGAAAATAATAAATGTTTTTTTGCATTTTAAATAATAGACCATTTCTCAGTGATCGTAATAATTCCATTTTTCTCGGTTTAATGAAAACCAATAGGTTGTGATTTTCACGTTTGAGGGGGTTTAAACCGTGACATCTACACGTTTTCAAAAGTGGACTATTTAGGCTTCTTCATTAAAAATGTGACATTTAGACGTTTTTTTCGGCGTGGATCGAGGCAAATTAATCCTTTTCACCTTGAAAATAATACATGTTTTTTTTTTGCATTTCAAATAATTGACCATTTCTCAGTGATAGTCAACAAAATTCCATTTTTCTCGGTTTAATGAAAACCAATAGGTTGTGATGGTAAGTTTCAGTTTAAGCTTGAGGGGTTTTCAAAAGTGGACCAACGTGAATATTTCACATCTTGTCGTGATACCGGGTTGAAGAAATGTTGTTTTGGCTACTTTGTTTGATATAATCACAACAATTTAACGTAGGCTAAGCAAGAATGGGATTTGAACTCCGGTCTTCTTGATTAAAGCCCAACGCTTCATCAATTGAGCCAATTGATCTCAATTGACTCTGTTGAGTTCAATGTTGTATTAAATGGGTTTTTATTGTTTGGTTTTATTTCTTGGAAAAATAAATATTGAAATATAATTTGACACAAGAGGGCATTATAGCCCTATTTATGGTTTTGAGTTTAAACTAAACCGTGACATCTACACGTTTTCCAAATTGGACCAACATGATTATTTCACGTCTTGTCATGAATCATGATACGGGTTGGGCACTTAAGTTACAGGAGTTTCTTCCCGTTGCTAAGCAATGGAACTAGGTCGAGTATTTAAAGGGTTATGGTTAAATGCTGTTTGATCCTGTAACATCTGGTTTAATGTTACTGCCTCAAATTCTTTAGATGCAAAACATGAGGCTGTCTGCCACGAAAGAGCTTTTACAAAATAAAAATCACAGAGTCCAAACTATTTACAGGGTTCAAAGTGATGCTTTAGGAAAAGACGAGTGTTTTGTCTGCACAGGGCGGGTTTACAATTAATGAGCCCCAAAGATTGTGTTTTACATGCTACTGAAAATATAAACACAAATGATTCAACAAAAAACATTGATGCACACACAGACAGAGCAGCCCACAGAGATTCATGCACCGCCTGATTAGATTGCTGTGTACGACTAGTTCTAGGCAAGCAACTGTTAAACTAAATTAAACAATGCTAAAAAAAAATATAAAGAAAACTTAAAAAACAAAACACAAAATCTAAATAAAAGATAAAACATCATTAAAAAAATAAAGTAATTGCTCCTATTTCCAAAAAAAAAAAAAAAAGCAATATATATATACTTTATATATAGACACACACTCACCTAAAGGATTATTACGAACACCGGTTCAATTTCTCATTAATGTAATTATCTAATCAACCAATCACATGGCAGTTGCTTCAATGCATTTAGGGGTATGGTCCTGGTCAAGACAATCTCCTGAACTCCAAACTGAATGTCAGAACGGGAAAGAAAGGCGATTTAAGCAATTTTGAGCGTGGCGTGGTTGTTGGTGCCAGATGGGCCGGTCTGAGGATTTCACGATCTGCTCAGTTACTGGGATTTTCACGCACAACCACTTCTAGGGTTTACAAAGAATGGTGTGAAAAGGGAAAAACATCCAGTATGCGGCAGTCGTGTGTGCGAAAATGCCTTGTTGATGCTAGAGGTCAGAGGAGAATGGGCCGACTGATTCAAGCTGATAAAAGAGCAACTTTGACTGAAATAACCACTCGTTACAAGTTAGACCCTTCCAGAGCTGAGATATTGAGATATATACAATGGCATAAATGCTACGGGGGATCTCAATATCTCAGCTCTGGAAGGGCCTAGAGCTTCCATTTTTGCACTCAGGTCTAAGTCCCATGGCCCTCTATCAGAATCCAGAGTTTCAAGAAGATTGGAGAAACTTAATTTTTCGCCCGAAAAAAAAACCGAAAGGGGTACCACTGTCGTTTTTTTTTTCGGGTCGAATTTTTGAGTTTCGTTATCTCAGCTCTGGAAGGGTCTAGAGCCTCCATTTTTGCACTCAGGTTTAAGTCTCATGGCCCTCTATCAGAATCCAGAGTTTTGAGAAGATTGGAGAAACTTAATTTTTCACCCGAAAAAAAAAAACGAAAGGGGTACCACTGTCGTTTTTTTTTTCGGGTCGAATTTTTGAGTTTCGATATCTCAGCTCTGGAAGGGTCTAGAGCCTCCATTTTTGCACTCAGGTCTAAGTCTCATGGCCCTCTATCAGAATCCAGAGTTTTGAGAAGATTGGAGAAACTTAATTTTTCGCCCGAAAAAAAAAAACGTAAGGGGTACCACTGTCGTTTTTTTTTTTGGGCCGAATTTTTGAGTTTCGATATCTCAGCTCTGGAAGGGGCTAGAGCCTCCATTTTTGCACTCAGGTCTAAGTCTCATGGCCCTCTATCAGAATCCAGAGTTTTGGGAAGATTGGAGAAACTTAATTTTTCGCCCAAAAAAAAAAACGTAAGGGGTACCACTGTCGTTTTTTTTTCGGGCCGAATTTTTGAGTTTCGATATCTCAGCTCTGGAAGGGGCTAGAGCCTCCATTTTTGCACTCAGGTCTAAGTCTCATGGCCCTCTATCAGAATCCAGAGTTTTGGGAAGATTGGAGAAACTTAATTTTTCGCCCAAAAAAAAAAACGTAAGGGGTACCACTGTCGTTTTTTTTTTCGGGCCGAATTTTTGAGTTTCGATATCTCAGCTCTGGAAGGGGCTAGAGCCTCCATTTTTGCACTCAGGTCTAAGTCTCATGGCCCTCTATCAGAATCCAGAGTTTTGGGAAGATTGGAGAAACTTAATTTTTCGCCCAAAAAAAAAAACGTAAGGGGTACCACTGTCGTTTTTTTTTCGGGCCGAATTTTTGAGTTTCGATATCTCAGCTCTGGAAGGGGCTAGAGCCTCCATTTTTGCACTCAGGTCTAAGTCTCATGGCCCTCTATCAGAATCCAGAGTTTTGGGAAGATTGGAGAAACTTAATTTTTCGCCCCAAAAAAAAAAACGTAAGGGGTACCACTGTCGTTTTTTTTTCGGGCCGAATTTTTGAGTTTCGATATCTCAGCTCTGGAAGGGGCTAGAGCCTCCATTTTTGCACTCAGGTCTAAGTCTCATGGCCCTCTATCAGAATCCAGAGTTTTGGGAAGATTGGAGAAACTTAATTTTTCGCCCAAAAAAAAAAACGTAAGGGGTACCACTGTCGTTTTTTTTTCGGGCCGAATTTTTGAGTTTCGATATCTCAGCTCTGGAAGGGGCTAGAGCCTCCATTTTTGCACTCAGGTCTAAGTCTCATGGCCCTCTATCAGAATCCAGAGTTTTGGGAAGATTGGAGAAACTTAATTTTTCGCCCAAAAAAAAAAAACGTAAGGGGTACCACTGTCGTTTTTTTTTTCGGGCCGAATTTTTGAGTTTCGATATCTCAGCTCTGGAAGGGGCTAGAGCCTCCATTTTTGCACTCAGGTCTAAGTCTCATGGCCCTCTATCAGAATCCAGAGTTTTGGGAAGATTGGAGAAACTTAATTTTTCGCCCAAAAAAAAAAAACGTAAGGGGTACCACTGTCGTTTTTTTTTCGGGCCGAATTTTTGAGTTTCGATATCTCAGCTCTGGAAGGGGCTAGAGCCTCCATTTTTGCACTCAGGTCTAAGTCTCATGGCCCTCTATCAGAATCCAGAGTTTTGGGAAGATTGGAGAAACTTAATTTTTCGCCCAAAAAAAAAAACGTAAGGGGTACCACTGTCGTTTTTTTTTTCGGGCCGAATTTTTGAGTTTCGATATCTCAGCTCTGGAAGGGGCTAGAGCCTCCATTTTTGCACTCAGGTCTAAGTCTCATGGCCCTCTATCAGAATCCAGAGTTTTGGGAAGATTGGAGAAACTTAATTTTTCGCCCAAAAAAAAAAAACGTAAGGGGTACCACTGTCGTTTTTTTTTCGGGCCGAATTTTTGAGTTTCGATATCTCAGCTCTGGAAGGGGCTAGAGCCTCCATTTTTGCACTCAGGTCTAAGTCTCATGGCCCTCTATCAGAATCCAGAGTTTTGGGAAGATTGGAGAAACTTAATTTTTCGCCCAAAAAAAAAAAACGTAAGGGGTACCACTGTCGTTTTTTTTTCGGGCCGAATTTTTGAGTTTCGATATCTCAGCTCTGGAAGGGGCTAGAGCCTCCATTTTTGCACTCAGGTCTAAGTCTCATGGCCCTCTATCAGAATCCAGAGTTTTGGGAAGATTGGAGAAACTTAATTTTTCGCCCAAAAAAAAAAACGTAAGGGGTACCACTGTCGTTTTTTTTTCGGGCCGAATTTTTGAGTTTCGATATCTCAGCTCTGGAAGGGGCTAGAGCCTCCATTTTTGCACTCAGGTCTAAGTCTCATGGCCCTCTATCAGAATCCAGAGTTTTGGGAAGATTGGAGAAACTTAATTTTTCGCCCCAAAAAAAAAAACGTAAGGGGTACCACTGTCGTTTTTTTTTTCGGGCCGAA